TTTTTAATAGAGATGGGGTTTCACCATGTTGGCCAGGCTGGTCTGGAACTCCTGACCTCAGAGGATCCACCCACCTCAGCCTCCCAAAGTGCTGGGATTATAGGCGCGAGCCACTGCGCCCAGCCTAGCCTCCCATCTTGATATATCTACCACTCTCGCCCACTCTTCCTGGGTTACTCTGGTCCCGGGGTCTCTGATGTATTTCTGCCAAATGACAAGTAAAAATGCAGGTGTTGGGCTGATCACGTGGCTCACCCAGCACTCTGCAGGGCTGAGGTGAAAGGATCTCCTGAGCTCAGGAGTTCAAGACTAGCCCGGGCAACACAGGAAGACCTCGTCTCTACTAAAAATAAATAAATAAATGAAGACAATGCAGGTGTTGGTTTATCCTAATGATGACGGCAGTGACACTGCAGGATCACCACGTGCAGATGCACTTTCCGTACACTATCTCACATCGTTCTCATGGCAACCATATAATGCAGGAATCATGATGACATTATAGTAAGGAAACTGAGACTCTAGCTGTCATATGCTGCTCTTCCTCTTCCCTTCCTGAACAACTTAGTCCTAAAGTCATTTGCGAAGCCTAAAAAGGTAGGTGTTCACATGGGGGCATCTAGAGTGGGGTGCTGGGATTGCAGGTATGAGCCCCCCTGCCCCCACACCCCGTGTCCAGTTCAATACATGCTGATTTGTATTTTCACCCAGGGAAACCCCTGAAGTTCACATGCCACCCTAGTCACTGAAACTGAGAGTATCGTTCCCTTGGCTTCCTGAGCCAGGAAGAGAGAAATTCCTGACACTGTGTGGTGTTGCAGCTCCCTGAGCTCCTCCAGAGTTGACCCTGGAAATAGCTGCATTGTGTCTGCAAGGTATGCTGGACAGAGTTGGTCCCTTCCCACAAGACAGGCCAAGGACAGAGGGGCCAGGCTGCAGAGGAAAGAGAAGAGCTGAGCACCCTCAGTCGCATCTGAGAGTCAGCTTTTTGTTTCTTAGGTATTTGGATGAGAAAGTTTTTGTTGTTGTTGGCTCTGAAGAGTGTCAATTAATCAGTTTGTGATATGGTATTATGATTTACAATAAGAGATACACACTTGGTCTTCAACTCTGTTCTGGGCACAGAGCTTGTAAGATGCTTGGAATTTCCTAAGTGATTCATAACAAGCCCCTTTCAACCTGAGGTTCTGCTGATGGGGGGCTCTTAGAGGATGGTGGTGCTGGTTGCCAGGGTAACCCACCGTGTGATGAGAGGATGGGAATGTTCAGAACTGACCCCCAGTTCCCACCCCCTGGGGAGGCGGGAGGAGTCTAAGGGGCTGGAAACTGAGTTGAAAGGCCGATGGTCAATGATTTTATCAGTCATACCTGCATCATGAAGCCTCACCAAAAAGGTAGGGTGCAGAGAGTTCTGAGTTGCTGAGCACATGGAAGTGCTGGGAGGGCGGCAGACCTGTGAGGGTTGTGAGGGCTCCATGCCCTTCCCCGTCTCTTGAGCTGTGCTCTTTTCCCTTCATCTGTTCCTGAGCTGTCCCCTTTATAATAAACAGGTAAACCAAATAAGGTGTTTATCTGAGTTCTGTGAGCCATTCCAGAAATGACAGAATCTGAGGCTGGGGTCATGGGAACCTCTGATTTGTAGCTGGCCCATCAGAAGCACAGGTGACAGTGAGGGCTTGCAACCGGCGTCTGAAGTAGGGGCAGTCCAATGGCAGCCCCATCAGACTTCAGCCGGTAGGGGCTGTGCCAACTCCAGGTAGTGTCAGAATTGGATTGAATTTCAGGACTTCCAGCTGGGGCTGGAAAATTGGTCAACACGGGGAAAAAATTCACACAGCTGGTGTCAGAAGTGAAGTACCGAGAGTAGTTGAGAGTACAGAGAAAATCCTGACACGTGTGGAGGTTTTTCCCCGTGTCTGGTTTTGTTTTGAGTTAGGGGCTCCCTCTGTCACCTAGCAGGAGTGCACTGGTGCAATCACGGCTCACTGCAGCCTCCAATTGCTGGGCTCAAGCGATCCTCCTATCTCAGCCTCCCCAGTAGTCAAACTACACGCGCACACCACCTTACTTGGCTAATGTAAAAAAATGTTTTGTAGATACAGGATCTTGCTTTGTTACCCTAGGTGGTCTCAAACTCCTGGCCTCAAACAATCCTCTCCTCTTGGCCTCCCAAAGTGTTGGAATTACAGGTATGAGCTGCCATGCCTGGCTATCACATGTGTTTTCATTACACATCTAAACACAGCTCTTCATGGATTATTGCCGGAAGTAACAGTCTCTAAGTATCGAACAGGATGCTGAAATATCTTCCACATGGTTTTGGATTCGGCGGTAAACAATATATCTCATAGCACATCCGCCATCAGGAAACCTAGGTTCCAGAAGAAAAGTTAAGACTCAAAAACCACTGAGCTCGGTGGCTCATATCTGTAATCTCAGCGCTTTGCGAGGTCAAGGCGGGAGGATGACTTGAAGCCGAAAGTTTGAGACCAGCCTGGGCAACATAGTGAGACCCCATCTCTAAAAAAAATATTTTTTTTAACTAGCTAGGCATGGTGGTATAGTCTCAGCTACCGGGGGGCGGGGGCTGAGAGGGGAGGATGACTTGGACTCAGGAGTTTGAAGCTGCAGTTAGATATGATTATGCCATTGCACTCTAGCATGGTCAACAGAACCTCACCCCACACCCACCTAAAAAAAAGAAAAAAAAGACTCATAATCTAAAAATGACAGGCAACTCAAGATCAGTATGTGTGTTCAATGACTCTGAATGCTATGAGCTCAGAGAAAAATCCTGGAGCTACTGGGGTAGATGGAAGATGGAGTTGTGGCTTGAACGACATCTTGAGGATGAGAAAGTTTGGCTGAGATGAGAGAGATTATTTTTAGGTCCCTGAGTGTAGGTATAAGGACATAAATGAGCTTGCTGAGGAGACAGACAGAGGGAATGCTGACAGAGGTTCCAAGGGTGGCAAACACGCCAGCCCAAACAGATGAGGAAGGGGCTCCCGAGCCACTGCATTCACTCCAGGCTGCCCTGAGAGTTCGCTGGGGTTTCAAGGACCTTAAGCGCTCACGCCATCAAAGCGTTCTTCTCCCATTGCATTACGTAAAGCTCTGCAGGAAGACAGTACCTCTAGGAATGCACCTGTCATCAAAGCAGGGCCCACCCAGTTAGGAAACAAGGCTGGGCTGGTCCACAAGGGCTTGGCTGACTATTGCACTCACCAGGAAAGAAGGTGCACGCTTGTTTGCATTTGTGGTGACACTGTGGCTCAGCAATGATTATCCTGCCAATTAAATCCAGTTCCACATATGGCATCGAGGGCGGCTTCACCTGCCCTGGCCAATGTCTGGGACTTACACAGAGCCACACACTACCCCGGGGAATGCCAGTGTCATGAAGTCTCTCTACGAAGGGTCGGCCACACCCCTCCAGTTTCTGTCTTCACTCCCTTTGGAGGATGCCACCCTTCCTGTCAGGCTGCCTCCTGGCCTTTCCATGTCACTTCAGCCATGCCATGGCACTGATCTCACCTGGAGGCCACACCTCCTCCATCCCACAGAAATGATAGTGACACCCACCAACCAACTGCCTCAACTTGAAGAAGCTATTTTAAAACTGCATCTACCCTCAGGGAAGCTAAACAGCCAGTAACTTTGCTCCCAGTTTTCCTATGGAGAAACTGAGTCATGATCTAACACACCAGGGCATTCTCAATAATGACTCAGTGAGGTCAGAATCCCACAAAGCCTAACCCAGAGCCTGTGTGCCTTCAGGCACGTCAGCCTCTATGCTGTATCTTGGAGGAGGGACCTGCCTGGTGCCAGCAGTTTTGCCCACAGCTCTGCTGTGGATCCCGCCTCTCTGACCCTATTATGTTTTATAGGTTGCAGAGAGCCGGGATCTCGCCATTGCACTCCAGCTTGGGCAACAAGAGCGAAACTCCGTCTCAAAAAAAAAAAAAATCTGTAGTCCTGAATCACACACAGACTCCAAAGTCAAGGAATTCTGGCCGAGAAGAGTTCTCTCTGCTTGTGAGAGAGACACTCCCATGAAACGTGCATCTTTATGTGTGTCTCTTCATTCAGATGCAATCAATGGCAGTATATTATTTCCATTGTGATAAGAATCCCTAGCAAAGGATCAGCAAGTTGAGGCCTTAAGTCTTGATGCAGATGCAATTTGTAAGGGGATTCTTATTCATGCCCCAAACCGAGGCCAGCTAGGCCAGGCACCTGTTCTGTTGGACTCTGACATGCGTCTTGTTTTATTCTACGTGGTTCTTACCTGTGCTAGGAAGGTGCCTAGCAGTGAGAAGTCTCTGGGTTGACTTCCTTCTTCCAGGAGGGAAAGGGACTAGGTTCATGAAGCAGCCAGGCTGGGAAGGGCACTACACAGCTTCCCACATGTTATACATGTTCACCACCCTCCGATACTGCCCCACTAGCAGATGTGGACAAGCCAAGGCTCAGAAATGTCACTTCAACAAGTCACACATAGGTGAGGGCAGGGGTGGCCTCGCACCTTCCGCTGGTAGGCTGCAGTGGGTGCTGCCCGCTGGCCTGGCCTGAGGCCTTCAAGCTCCCTCCCACCCCTCAGGTCCTGGGGCCCAGCAAGCTGCGCCCTTGCTTCCACCACCTCGGCCTCCCTTTCTGGGGCACTCACGTCTCCACCAGCCAGATCTTCCCCATCATTCCAGGCCCACGCGTCCCCCACCCCGCTGACGCTCAGGTGGCCCGCGGTCAGACCCTCTCCCAGGACCCCATACAGCTGCCCCTCTCCAGGGTCCTTCGGGTGACCGTCTCGTCACTGCAGCTCCATATCTCGTGCGCCCAGGATCACACCCAGTAGGTCCTCGCTGGGGCGTCCCCGACTGTGCCCACCCCGTCCCCCCCAGCACTGGGCGCCCGGGACCCGGCTCTGACGCGCGGAGGGAGGGCAGGGCGTCGGCGGAGAGCAGAGACGAGGAGGAACCTAAAGGCCCAGAAACGCGGTGTGACCAGAGCCCCCCTGGGCAAACTCAGGGCCTCGCGCCAGAGCCGCGGTCTCGCGCAGCGCCGCGGGTCGCCGCCCCACCCGGACCCCCGCGCCCCGAGCTCAGGCCCCGCCCTTTTCCCCTAGGAGCTGCTAATCACGCCCCAGGGACGTTGGCCCCCGGGGGAGGGGAGGACCCCAGGCCAGTGCCCGGCTGCGGGGAGGCGCCTCGCCCTCCCCTCTCCTGATCTCCCCACTCCGCTTCTCCCTCTTCGTTTCCTCCCCGCCCAGCTCCTTTTACTCTGCACGCCCAGTCCCTCGTCTCCTCTTCGCTCACTCCACCCTAATTTCCTTCCTCTCCCCTCCCCAGCGGGCTCCTCTGCCCCTTTCCTCTTCCCTCCAACCCCCCTCCCCGTTTCCCACCCGCCCTCTCTCCACCCCGCCCGGGTCCCCTCGGCCCCGCCTCCCCATTCGGGTCACCCCGTCCCAGTTCCCTCTTCCTCGCCACTCCGCCCCTCCCTCCTCTCCTCCCCCGCTCCCGCTCCGCTCGGTCCTCCCGCTCCTCCGCAGCCGCCTCAATGTCCTCCCCTCTCCGCCCGCCCCCGCGTCCCCGCCCTGCAGTCTCCCGGCGCCGGCGTAACCGCTTGTCCCACCTCCCTCCCAGCCAATCGCTCCTCTCCTCCGCTCGGGGCCTCTTCCCCGGGGAATCCTGTGGCCGGAGACGCTCGGCCGGGTCCCAGGTCTATGGTCACCGTGCGGGGGCCGCTGCGGGCGCGGAATCCAGACCCCGGGGCGCAGCAACCTCACAAGTTCGGGTGCAGCAGCAACACGAAGATCAGGGCGCGGAGCGAGGGTGATCCGTACAGCCGTGGTTTAGCCGAGGCCGGCAGCGCTTTCTAGCCAAAGCAGCTTCCCTAGAAGTGGCCCCACTCGGGTCAGAACCACCCAGCCGGGCAGCTGATATTCTCCATTTTCGCAGAGGGAGCAGCGCGCGTGGGGAGACGCAGTGACTCGCCAGGGTCACACTAGAAGCGTCCTCCCCTGCAAGGCCGAGGGCAGGGTGAGCACGTGGGCGTTCCCCGTCTGCCCCGGCCTGGGTGCACTGGCCTCGACTCCTCTGTGCAGGGTCCATGGTGCAAGCACACGGCTCGAGTGCAGGCAGAGTTTAAGGGAAAGATGTTTCGACTGCGGGAGCCGACAGAAAGGACTAAATCCAAAGGGTGTCCTTGGACCTGAGCCTTCTGCTACACTCCTGGCCCATAAAAGGAGAATTTGCATTTTTTAAAGAAAGTCCAAGGTAGAAAAGCCTTGGGAGCCAAAATGGCAGGAACCGCAGACCAACGGCGCTGGAAGCGCGCAGGTCTGTGCATTCCCGGGCCTCGCTGCCCTGCAGGGCCGCACGTTCCAGCGCTCAGGGACGGCGCCGCAGGACACAACCCAAACACCGACCGCAGGCGAAGTAAAAATGAGTCGGCTGCACCTGCGACCACGCTGCCCCTAGCTGGCTCTGCCCCTGCCTCTCAGGACGGCAGGCCCTTGCCTCGAGGCCCGAGGGTCTTCGCATTTGCCGCGGTGGCTTCTCCCGGATACCTGCAGAGCTTCGCTCCCCAACCCCCTTTAGCTCTTATGCCAGGGCCTCCTTCCAAACCAGGCCTTCCCTGTTTCCTGGCAACTGGTTTTAAAATCACAGCACCCCCGGCCCCTGCAATTTACACTCCCTCCTCAGCTCCTTTTTTTTTTTTCTTTTTTTCCCATAGTACCTGAATGCGTTTGTGAATCACCTGGGGAATCTTGCTACAACACAGATGTCAATTCACTTGTTCCAGGGTGGGTCCCCACGTTTCTAACACGTGTCTGTGATATACCTGCTCCCCATCTGCCTGCAGATCTGCGAGGATCCTGAACATGCAGATAATATAAAATGGCTTATTTTTTATATGTATCTTGTTTTACTGTCTCCCGAACTTGAACGTGAGTTCCACCAGTATAGAGCTCTAGTCTGGTTTGTTTGCTGCTATATCTTCCGCACCTAGAACAGGCCTGGCGATAGTAGGGGCTCTATGTTATTTACAGAAAGAAGTACGGTAGTGAATGAAATACAAACCAGAAGAGAAAGCAGAGGTGGGCGGCAACCCAAATCTGAGCTTCTAAGTTTGAGCTTATTTTATTTTTACTTAGTGTTACTTTTGGCAAGGTTCTACATCCCTAGAGTTTGACAAGGTCAAACAAGGACTTATGAGTGAAGAGGGCAGCTCAAACCCACCCAACTACTTCTGCTCCCTCCTGAAACTCAATTATCAACATGACTTCAAGGCTGTTTCCCACAGGCATAGAGTAATTGACAAATAGGCTTTACTCCCTAAGCTGTGGACTCCTTCCATGCTATTCATTCTATTATTTCGTGGATCTTTTTATGTGTCTTAAATATTTCATTGTAAAAAGTCTGGAGAGCGTATATCCATACGCTGGAGCATTCTACTGCCATAAAAAAGAATGAAGAACTGATAGCCTGTTGGAACTGACAGCGTGTTGTTGTGGACCTCACAAACACGGTGTCACGTGGAAGAAGCCAGATACACCGTTTGTGGCCCACGTGCTCGCCCAGGCCTGGAGGCTCCAGGCAGGTGGCAGGGCTGAATCAACATTCTCTAACTCTGCACCCACCTCCTGAGGGCCCTGACTTTCCAGCTGCACCACCGGCTGTCCTACAGGAGCACAGAAGGCCACTGCCGTCACATTCACTTCGACCCATGGTTCTATGTTCTGTGTTCATAAACATCTATGAAGATGTTTATCCTGTTCTGAGTGTGACTATGACTTTCCCCAACTTAAAAAAATTAAAAAAATTTTTTTTTGCTTTTGCTTAGAGCAGGCTGGAGAGAGCTGCTTACGCCACTGTTTCAACCAATAAATATTGCTTGTAAAGTGATTTTTTTTTAAGAGACGGGGTCTTGCTCTGTCACTCAGGCTGGAGTGCAGTGGTGCGATCACAGCTCACTACAGCGTCTAACTCCTGGGCTCAAGTGATCCTCCCATCTTAACCTCCAGAGTAGCTGGGACTACAGGTGCACTCCACCACACCTGGGTTTTTTTTTTTTTTTCTTGTAGAGACAGTCTTGCTGAGTTGCCCAGGCTGATCTTTAATTCCTGGACTTAAGCAGTCCTCCTGCATTGGCCTCCTAACGTGTTGGGATTACAGACATGAGTCACCATCCTCAGCCAGTAAAATGAATGTTGAAGGCATTTACAACTGCATACACCTAGCATGTGCAAATATGATGCCACACTGCAGGTGTCATTACTAAATATATGTTGTTTGTCTACCCTGCCCCTTTTTAAACAATTTTGTCAGGTAACTGCTGTGAGTATCCAAAGCTACCACTGACTAAGGATGCTTTCAGGTCTCCAATCAGTCTTTTGCTTTTTTAAATGAGGATGTACGGAAAGTAGAACAGAGGACAATTAGAGGATGGGAAGGGTGGGGGAAGGGGGGTGGATAGGATGCAGAATTACAGCTAGATGAAAGGGTAAGTTCTAGTGTTCTATAGCACGGTGGATGACTATAGTTAACTGTAACATATAGTTTCAAGGAGCCAGAAGGAGGATACTGAAAGTTCCCAACACAAAGAAATGAGAGATGTTGGCCAGGCACAGTGGCTCACACCTGTAATCCCTGCACTTTGGGACGCTGAGGTGGGTAGATCACAAGGTCAGGAGTTCAAGACTAGCCTGGCCAAGATGGTGAAACCGTTTCTACTAAAATACAAAAATTAGCCGGACGCAGTGGCAGGCACCTATAATCCCAGCTACTTGGAAGGCTGAGTCAGGAAAATCACTTGAACCTGGGGAGCGGAGGCTGCAGTGAGCTGAGATTGCACCACTGCACTCAGCCTAGGCAACAAAGTGAGACTCTGTCTCAAAAGAAACATAAATGACAGATGTTTGAGATGATGGATATGGTAATTACCCTGATAAGATAACGATACATTAA